ATGCTGCAACCAGGCACTTACTTTCCAAATTCCATCCTGTTTATCGGCATAATTTTCCAGGTATGCCTGCTACTTCATTACTTATAACCCCATTTTCAAAATGCGCCTTCTTTGTTGCCTCAACATATCCTAAAAAGACATACATTTACATTAAACAATAGAAATCGCAAGAATTAGCAAATAAAATACTCACCCCGATGCTGTAATCCGAAAGTTCGTAGTTACGAATTCGTAGCTCCGTTCCGAAAATTCGAAAATTGGTATGCTGTAATCCGATCGTAACTATCAACGGCGTTACCAACTAAACTAGTGAAATTCGAAGTTCTTAATCAGATGCTTTGACAGAAACAAATCAAAATAAATATAATCGCAAGTGAACAGTGAAATTTAAAAAAAATTATTTAATCGTATTTGAAAAAGCTTTTCCTTAATTAAGTAAAATAGAATGGATTCAGTGGCCGGTGCACTTTTGTCTCAGGAGGAAGAACATGCTGCAGTCAACTGTTGCATTAATATACAAAGGAGATTGCTACGAGACAGTTCTGATCCATTTAGCTTAAATGATAAATATATGCTCCCTCTTTTTAAGGGCGTCCATTCAACTAAATATTGTGTTGCTTTAAATCTTGCAACGCTTTCCCCAAATTCCACCACATCCTCTTTAACTATTAAAAAGCCTCGGGCAATGTCCGGCCTTTCGCTCATGCATTTCACCAGTTTTTCGTATTGCGAGCGATTTGTTGTGATTGTCGACTTGATAATTTTGTAAACATTTAATAATACATTGTTTTTTATTCACACTTCAACTTACATACATATTTTTGCGTTTCCACACTTTATTTTATTGATATTTTAAAAGAATTCGCTTCGCTCCGACACCAGTTGCTCTTCGTAGAAAATTTCCGACAAATACATACAGATAGAACAAGGATCAGGGATGTAATTTTAAGTAAATCTAGTAATCAGTGGCAAGGCACAGAGCGTTCAGGGCAGCAATATTAATTTGTAACAAATATAACATTTAACGGTGGTTCTAATACATTTTTTTATATTATTAACCAGAGTGCATACATTATGGCTGCGTTTCTTTATACATTCCGGATAATCCCATTTCACAGCCGGAATAAACAGAATGCGTTTGAATAATACGTCAACATATCATCAGGAACGTTCTACAGAATAAATAAACAAAAAAGTGTATTCCAAACGTTCAGAATGAATAAAGAAATGCAGCCTATATGGTATTTCTTTCAAAAATTAATATTCTATATGAACATTTTTTTCAAATATTTCTGAAGTTTCTTTTATGAGTGCTGAAAAGCAACCATGCGTGTAAGAAATTGCTACCTAAAATTTCACCTCTGGAGACTTTGTCCCCATAAAGGACTTCACCACAGTTTTTATACTGGATATACTGAGGTTTTACTATGGGTGGATGACAAACTTTTTTTCAGGCGAAACTCAGGATAGAGCAGATTAATATTTAAAAAAAATAAAAATAATTACATTTAACACTAAATATCTTTAAAACTAGAAGGCTTCGGACCTATATATTTCAAAAGTGGTGGAGCCCAGCTTTCCAATGGCAAAGTCAAAATTTGTCGCCCTGGTTGTCGTAATCTCCCCCACCGATTAGCTGTTTACTTGCTAGTTTCTGGTAGTTTTGCGTTGATTTACTATTTCTTTATTTCGATCTCTGTGAGCGTAATTTTCTTAATTTGCCCGTTCTTATTTTTCCTGATAATTATCTGCCAGAAAAGAAAAGAGAAGCCCACAATACAATAACGCAGTGGCAGTGGCAGTTTTTCGAAATCAGTGTGGTGCCCAATAGAGCGACTGAAAATACACCATCTGGCATCTAAATTCACTGCCACTGCCTTCATCGCAGCAAACTTCGCATGTTGAATTTGATATAAATGAAACGCAGTCAACTTTTGTTATGTCACTGAAGCCTAAAAGGCAAAAGCAAAAATGTAAACAAACAAAAGGGAATTTAAAAAAATCCGTCACTGACAACGCCGTATTGTGTTTGCTGCGGCAGTGACTGCCAATATTAGCAGTAGCACCTGATTTTAAAATCTGTAACTGCCACTGCCACTGCGCTATTGTATTTTGTGCTCTATGCAGCGTTTTTGCTGAATTTAAAATGCAACATTTAGCACTTTCGAACATATTTTTTCGAAGAGCATTCATGCATTTAGCAAATGTACATTTAAGCGAATTCGAAATCGTATGCCTTTGACAAACAGCCGTATTCTAGTCGCTTATTCAGATCCGTATCTATTACGATCAATTCTCACGCAGAAGATAATGTGCAAAAAGACCTACTGAAAAGGAAAAAATAAATTTTATACCAAAAACTTGAATTGTTTTTACCATAACCGAACATTTGTTTGTTTATATATTCATTTGTAGGTGCTGTCATTTAAAATTTCCTCCCTTAATTATGAAACTAAACAAACAGAGTTGATCACAAATTGATCCAGATTTCTATCAGCATCACATCGATGTTGAATTTCCGTAACTTTTCCTTATCTAAATAATGTAAAATAATAAATGAAATCTCGATCGGCGATCACTGAAACGCAGCTAGCCACTGTATACGCGAAAAAGCAATGTTGCTACTTTTTCCCATTAAACCATGTTCGAATCGTGGAAATTTTGGAAGATCACAGGGTTGCTTTTAGCATTTAGATTCTTAATGCAAAAATGGAGTTGCATTTAGGTGACGAATTTTGTATGGATAAAAGAACATTTATGGCCAGTTGTTCAATGTCTGGTTATCACTATCTACCAGTTAAACATCATTATCGACGATTTCGACATCATACATATAACATGTGATCGATAAAGCAGTCGTTGCATTTAACCGGAAGTTCTGCCTCCGATTTGTGTTAACCAGATATTGAAAAACCGGCCCTTAGAGTAGCATTTAGAGCTAATGCAGCGTTTTTGCTGCATTTAAAATGCAACATTTAGCACTTTCGAACATATGTTTTCGAAGAGCGTTCATGCTATCGCATTTAGCAAATGTACATTTACGCGAGTTCGAAATCGTATGCTTTTGACAAACAGCCGTGTTCCAGTCGCTTATTCAGATCCGTATCCATTACGATAAATTCTCACGGAAAAGATAATGTGCATAAACCCCTACTGAAAAGGAAAAATAAATTCTAAACCGAAAATTCAATACAAAAACCTGAATTGTTTTAACCATAACCGAACATTTGTTTGTGTATATATTCATTTGTCGGTGCTGCCAATTATATTTTCCACACCTAATTAGGAAACAAAACAAACAGAGTTGATCACAAATTAATCCAGATTTCTATCAGCATCATATCGATGTTGAATTTGCGTAACTTTTCTTTATCCAAATAATGTAAAATAATAAATGAAATCTCGATCGGCGATCACTGAAACGCAGCTAGCGGTTGTATACTCGAAAAAGCAATGTTGCCACTCTTTCTCATTAAACCATGTTCGAATCGTGGAAATTTTGGAAGATCACAGGGATGCTTTTAGCATTTAGATTCTAAATGCAAAGATTGAGTTGCATTTAGATGACGAATTTTGTATGGATAAATGTACATTTAGAGTAGCATTTAGAGCTAAATGCGCTAAATGTACATTTACTCGTAAGCAAAAACAGCCCATAAATGCGTTAAATGTGCTTTTACGCGTAAGCAAAAACAGTCCATTACAAAGCATTGGAATTGAACGAAATATATCGAGTATGTACTTGTATCGTTTCATTTCTAACCATCGATACTTTCGATAGTGCTATCGATCGTTTTCCAAATTTGTTTTTACTTATTAGGCCTTTCGCACGAGGCGATTTTTCAGGCAACAAAAGTTGAATGCGGAGTTGAATGAGAAGTTGAAAGTGAAAAAGTTGCCATCCCTATTCAGACGAGGCGACTTTCGATTCAACTCGAATTGTTGTTTACATTATTTAAAATGAGTTTA